GAGCTTACGGAAAACACCGGGGTGGTGTTTGCCGTATGCACTCCAACGCTCAAGTCAGCAAGGCTGAAAGAGATTATTTGATAAGAATTAAGGAGATGAAGAATTACCAAGAGTCTTCTCGGAAGCTAAGACTACGGCGGAGGCGTCGGGTTCTTGGGAGCAAGAACTTTAGGAGCAAATAGATGGTTTTGAGTAGTGTAATTTGACTATGGGAGATTGCCCCTTAATGAGAGGGCAAGCCTCTGTTTTTATAATGAACCAAAGGGGTTGGAATCCTAGTAGGACATTAAGTCCTCTTTTTTGGGAGATAATCTGTATTAAGAAAGAAATATGATTTCTTGACCTTATCAGATTAAGTTTAATAGTATAAATAAGATTTGGAATCTTAGTAGGACACTAAGTCCTATTTTGGGAGATAATCCCTATCATGAAAAAGATATGATTTCTTGACCTTATTAGATTAAGTTTAATAGTTTAAATGTAACACCCCACTTGAGGTACGTAGTTATTGTTTCTTCTTTTGCCCTTATTTGAGTTGGTTTCTTGGTAATATTGTTTGGTTGACCTTTAATTGAGTGTTATGTTGAATACTTGTCCTGAAATTGGTTGAAAATAGAAGAAGTTCAGTGTTCCAAGCTTCGTCCGGGCGAAGGGGTGTTGAAGCCACGGGAAGCTGTTGGACAGTTTCGCCGCGGTGACAGAAGCTTCCTCGCCGCGGTGACGGGCCGACCAAAATGTTTGTTAAGTTTAAGATATTTTCTTCCCTAAGGGCAATTTGACCATTCTACCCCTAATTAGCAGGAAAAGTGGGGAGTAAATTGTAAGGAATTTTCATGGAGAATATGTTGCTATGGGGGTGTGTTTGTAATGAATCAAAGGATATAGATAGAATTCCCAAAGAAAAGTAAGGGCAAAATGGGAATGCTTGTGTATAAATTTCATTAAAAGGAATTAAGTCATTGCAAACCCTTCATTCTTCTTCTCCATCGCCACTCTCCCCTCTTGATTCCTCTCAAATTCTCTTTCTTTTGATCAAGGAGTTTTAAAGGGCTTTTGGAGTGATTTGAGGTAGAAAATCAACCTAAGGCATCCTAAGGTAAGGATTCTTGCTTTGGTTGTGAAGCTTTGTGAGTTTTTGTATATATTGAATATTGAGGGTTTTTGTTCTTTTGTTTAAGAGTAGAGAAAAAGTCAAGCAAACCAAGTGAAAGGAAGAGTTAGTGAAATCTCTCCATAACAAGGTAAGTAAACCCCAACCCAAGTTGAGATTTGAGAATTTTCTTGATTAGGGTTTTGATAGCACTTATGTATGTGTGTTATATACATGTTATATGCCATGTTATTGAGGCTTAAATAGAGATTTCTAGTGCTTTGTGATTGTTTATACCTTTCAAATATAAGAAGTGAGATGTGGGTTGGAAAGGTAGTTTGAGATGGAATTGAAGGGGTATTGTGGAACCCTTTTGGAAGTGTCTTTCTTTGGCAGGTTATGTGGCTATGTGAGGGGGTTTCTCCCCATTTTGGATGGTTAGAGAAAGATTTAGAATTATTGTTATAGTAGAGTTTTATTATGCACTTGAGTTGTTTGATGAAATGCCTAATAGAGGTTTGAGTATGAGTAGTGAACCTTAATTCTTGCAACATTGCATGTTGGCATTTCATAAGTGCATTAGTGGAGATGAACCATCCATAGGCATTAATTGTGCATTGAGAAGTGACCTAAGAAAGAGTAGGAAACTTTGTGTATGCACTTGCTCTATGAGTAGAGAACTTTGTGGATGCAACTACTCTAAGGGTAGAGAGAATGAGAAGTGCTAGAATAGAGTGAATGAGAAGAGTATTAGAAATGGGTTGATGCTTTGTGATCATCACCCGACAGTTATGAGAATCGGGTTGATGCTTTGTGATCATCACCCGAATAGCCATTAGAAATGGGTTGATGCTTTGTGATCATCACCCGATAGGTATTAGAAACGGGTGGATGCTTTGTGACCATCACCCGGTTAGTTATTAGAAAAGGGGTTGATGCTTTGTGATCATCACCCGATATTTATTAGAGATGGGTTGATGCTTTGTGATCATCACCCGACAGTGATTAGGAACGGGTTAATGCTTGGTGATCGTTACCCGAAAGTCATGAGGAACGGGTAGGTGCTATGTGGTCTCCACCCGATAGTTACGAAAACCGGGTAGGTGCTTCGTGATCCCCACTCGGTAGTCACTAAGAACGGGTTGGTGCTGTGTGAATTCCACCCGATAGTCATGAAGAGTGAGATGGTGCTGTGTGAACGCCATCCGGCCGTACCTCCGGTAAGATGAGGCCATGACGTTTAGTAGGAAACAACAGAAAGTGTGAGGAAAGAATTAAGAGTAATACATACGGGGATAGACAGATAGAGGGTTTTACTTACTGAGCATTATTTTGTGCTCACCCCGTTATTTTCCTTTGTGGATGCAGGATCTAGGTGATGATGCAGTCGGAGGGGCGTCGGCAAGCGAGGAGTAATAGCTACACTGTTTCCCCTGTTTTGTCTTTTAAAATGGCATCTTTTGTAAATGTTGTTCTTTGTGTATAAAAGACGTAATACTTATAATAAAAAGAAAAGTTTTGGGCCCATTTTCTATTGATATTATGCATGCATTGTACTAGTTTACAGTAGTTGTTACATTAAATAAGATTTGGAATCTTAATAGGACACTAAGTCCTATTTTGAGAGATAATCCCTATCATGAAAGAGATATGATTTATTGACCTTATCAGATTAAGTTTAATAGTTTGAGTAAGATTTGAAATCTTACTAGATGAGGAAATAGAATGAGATTCTGATTTCCTATTTATAGACTGTTGCAGACTAATGGGCTGAAACCCAATTTAGCTTAACTTATAGGATAGCCCAACTCATAGAGTGGGTAGTTCGCAAGGTGATTTTAAGCGTAGGCCCAATCAAGATTGGATTGAGGCCTTGGGCCGTGACATGTTTATTTCGTTATTGGGCCTCGTCAAGCCCAAGACGATTTTTGGCCCTAATAGTTAGTCCCCCACTCTCTAAGTTAAAGAGTATTTAGCTTAGAGAGTATATTTAATCGAATGAGTACAGACTGAGTGGATTAGTGATAGCAGCTCGTTAGGTCGGATGGATCGTTGTGTGGATTGGGTAGATGACTTGTCGATTTGAGGTGCAAGTCCTTCAATTGGTCTGGGCTGACTAAATGTGTAAATCTATAAATCGGTCTGGGTCGATCGAAGGTGTAAACTCATGAATCGGGCTAAGCCGATCGAAGGTGTAAACTTGTGAATCGGGCAGGACCGATTCGAAGGTGTAAATCCGTGAATCGGGTAGGGCCTATTCAAAGGTGTAAATCTGTGAATCGGGCAGGGCCTATTCGAAGGTGCGAACTCGTGAATCGGGCAGGGCTGATTCGAAGGTGTAAATCCATGAGTCGGGCAGGGCCGATTCGAAAGTGTATAACTCATTGATCGGGCAGGGCTGACCGAAGGTGTAAATCCGTGAATCGAGCAGGGCCGATTCGAATTCTGTGAATCAGCAGGGCCGATCCGAAGGTGTAAATCCGTGAATCAGACAGGGCCGATCCAAATGTGTTAATCCATGAATCGGGCAAGGTCGATCCGAATGTGTAAATCCATGGATCGGGTAGGGCTGATCCTAAGGTGTATTCGTGAATCGGGCAGGGCCGATTCAAAGGTGTAAAACTCATGGATCAGGCAAGGCCGACCGAAGTGTAAATCTGTGAATCGGGCAGGGCCGATTCGAATGTGTAAATTCGTGGATCAGGTCGATCCGAAGGTGTAAATCCGTGGATCAGGCAAGGCCGATCTGAAGGTGTAAATCTGTGAATCAGGCAGGGCCGAGCCGATGGTGTAAATCCGTGTATCGGGTAAGGATGATACGATGGTGTATGACTAGTGGAGCTTGTATGGAGCTTGCAGTCGAATCGGCATGATCGACTTGTAGTTGAAACCTTTGAGGGCTATGTGTCCCAGTCAGCGTGACCCACTTTGTAGTTGAAAACATTTGATTGAAGCTGGAGCAGTGACATGCATGGCATGCATGTTTTAAGCAAATAGTCGAATGAAGGGTTAATATGCATGATGTGCATTTGTTATGGGCTGAATAAAGAGTGAGCTAAATGGAAAAATGGGCTGCATGTATTTAAGTAATGGGCTGAATAGAGAAAGATTTAACCAAATAGAGTGGTAGTTAAAAGGAGACAATGACACGTACCTTTCCCCTTCAAGTGCTGCCACCCATGCTTGCTGGACCGAGTGGGGAGAGGGGTGTTACTTTCTATGTCGGAGCTGAACCAGTTGAAGTTGAGTGGGCACATGATTCACTTTTGAGCTGATCTGAATGGGCACGTTAATATCTTATGTGCAGACCCAAATATCATTGAGTGGACTACTCGTGTTGTTTAGTGGTGCTGAGTTGCAGGGGGGAGTGGAAAGTTTGCAGACAGCAGGGAGCGTGATGGCTTTTGTGACAGGTGTGTTGGAGATTGTGATGTAAAGTTGGTTTGCGTTGATATGTATTGGTTGGGAAGGGGCGATGGTTCGAGTTTGGAGTTTTGGAATACGGTGGGGTAAGGAGATTAGGCGAGAGTGGGGTTGCGTCACTTAAGCAGGTTTTGTTTGGGGGGTTTGACACAACCCGTCCCGAATTTCCTCATCCCGTAGGATCCGGGCGCTCCCACAAGACTTGGATACCCGAGACGTGCCATGTAGAAAAAAAACTGCGAAACCTGTTTAAAGACATACTTTTCCTGAATAACATCATAGTATTTCCATCTCCAACATCTCAAAAGAAAGACATGTATCATCTTTCGTTTTACAAAAGAAAAGAGTTAGGGAAACTTTTGGTATCAGGTTTTCCACTTATACTACACATTCCAAAATATGAAACAAAAGGAAATACATGATGGAAAACATGAGTTTCTTGAAACGAAAGTCCAGATTTACAATGCGACATAAATATAAGACCCACATAAAAGATGTCAACGCGTGGCACAACCCTAAGCGGAGGCTCACTGCTCGGCACGATCTCCGGAAGGTCCTGGTGGGGGGAAAAACATTTAAAAAGGGGTGAGCTAAAAATACTCAGTGAGTGGGGAAAAAGGGGGAGGTTTATAAAAGTTCTTAAAAAAAGAATAATGCTAACATACAACAATTTTCAAGCAAATCATGGCAACAATGTAACTTTATGAATATGCAATAGAACAACCACCCCGTTCTCGCATACAATATACAATTTATTTCTAATCATCCTGCACTCAGTAAACTGTACTCTGACTTACTTCCTTTAACTGTATCGGATTCTGTATAAAACCTCAACATTTATTATTAAAACTCTCACCACAACTAGTACCCTGGGGGAAATCTGTCATACCTGGTGGGCGTCCCACACGCAGGCAGAGCGAGGGACGTACCTGTCATACCCGGCAAGGTCTATCATCGCGCGGGCAGAGCCTAAAAAACTGTCATACCTGGCGGACCACTCAACGCCCAGGCAGAGCCAATAAAATCTGTCATACGCATGCGCAGAGCCAAAATCTGAAACTGTCATACCCAGCGGAATCCTGCATCGCTCGGGCAGAGCCAAAAATCTGTATCTCTGGGGGATGGGTACTTCGTAGGGTGGTTTTTGCACCACAACATACTCATGCATAATCTCATGTAACATGTAAGTCAATAGCATATTTCATATGTACTTATAAATCATACATATATGACATAATATTCCAAGGTCACATATAGGGGTGAAACTGCAAGTTTTTAAAATATATTCTCAAAACTAATAAATTCGCCACATTTATAATATTACCAGGAAATCATATCAACATCACAAATCTCAACTCATATGCAGTTCAACCAATTTCCAAGCTCTAAATTGTAACATTTCCTTTAACATGAATATATCAATACATGGGTGAAAAATTAAAACTGTAAAAAAAAATGTTTTCAAAACTGGCAGTTTAGCCCTTTTCAATTACTCACTTAACTTCTACCTTCCCAAATCCAGCCGAAGCATGGGAGAACAAGCAACTCACACAAACTTCACATATAATCCAAAAACTCATCAAAACATTAACATGCAGACATAAGTCTTAAGCTTTTAAGAAAGGTCTAATGACATGCAACACAAATCAGCTTTGTTAAATTTAGATCTGAGACACTTTCACTCAAAAATTTGCTCAGCCGGGACATGCTAAGGTAAAATATCCAGCCAACATCACAATTTAGTCAAACAACCGAATGCAAACAGGTGCAGCTAGCAAGCAAAATACACTCCATTTTAAGCACCAAATTAACCAACCAAGCATGGAAAGGAAAGCAAGTTCAGCAAGCTTCAAATTCAGCTCAAAACTCATCAAAAAGCAAAAATGGCCAACTATATTTAACATGCAAACATAAATCTGAATTTTTAAGAAAACTTTCATTTGATCCACTCACTCTTCTATCCTATAATTGGCTGCCTATTACAGTGCTTAGATTTCGATCTCCACCGTTCAGAATGTAGAGCTGTGTTTCATGAACAACATATCCGAAAATCAGCACGATCGGACGGCGAATGAGCTCCAGATCACGATTTGATGATCCACTGTTCACAGACTTAAAACTAATAAACTCTCCCTTTCTCTTTGTTCTTCTCTTCTTCTCTCACTCTATCTCTCGGCCAAACCACTCTTCCTTCTCTTCTCTCCCTTTTTTTTTTTTTCTTTCCTTTTCTTTTCTTTCTCCTTTCTCTCCTCTCTTCTTTCTTTCTTCTCCTCTCGTTTTCTTCTTCCTCCTTTGGGCGAACTGCCCAGTTCCCTTCCCCTTTTTAAACAAACATTTTTCTAAAATTTATTTCTGCCCCTCAATTCCTCTAAATTTCAGTTTAACCCAGCCACATAAGCTTTCCTTAGCAAAAATGTCCAAATTTTTCCCTCTTGATACATGCAAACCCATCAGGATTTATTTCTTCGATTTCACCCCCTTAGCACAGCTTTAAAAACTGACAGAAATACCCCTATCTTACCACAATACCAAAAAATCAAATAAATAAAAAAATTAAAAAAATTAATTAACTTAAATACAATTCATGATCTAACTAAAATCATGAATGGGGTTTTACAGGGTTTCTCTTCATGTTTAGTAGATGACTTTAGGTGTTTTGAGAGGATTACAACTGTGTTTTTAGGATTTCACCGTGTGATTGGAGAAGCTGTTAGGGCGATTTTAGGAGAACAGATGGTCGGGTTTTAGGTTTTAAAGTGGTGGCAAATCTCCATGAAGTTGAATTGGGATTTGATCAAGGCTGGTCGAGTTTGAGTTACCTTCTAATGGAGCGGAGGTCCTGGAGATGCTGGCGTATTGCGGCATCTTCTTGAATGAACAAATTGACTGGTTTTGTGGCGGATAATGCATTGCAAAGCTCTGATGACGGTGGCGGACCACCTGGTGGTTTGATGATTGAAATGAAAAGGCGCGTGTAGAGAGGTTAGAGATAGAAGCTATTGGCTTATTTGAATAGAGGATTAGAGAAGAGAGATTGTTGAAGCAAAGTCAATGAATCAAGTGGTTCAAGAACACCACTTTAAACTCTGACACATTATTATTCTATTATTAATTTAGAACAATAATATGAAGCTATTATTAATTTAGAACAATAATATGAGCTTCAAGGTCTTTGACTACCCACTGAATGGATATAATATAAAATAAATTACGATATGCCAAATAGATATAATATGGCACGTGAATAGATAAAACAAACGAAGAAAAATAAAAAAAAAATTCTTATCGTGATGGGATTTTCTGATTAACATTGTCAGTCAAAAGGAGTTCCCTGTCGCCTCCCATGTTGTAAGTCATCGTTGGCAGATGATTGTCAAGGCCCCACGGTGGGCGCCAAACTGTAAATGCAAAAAATCTACCGTCATGAAAATAGGGTCTGATCTTGTGAGGTTGAGGCCACTGATAATCTGCTAGACCTGCACACATGAAAGTGCAAGCGTGAAGCTTACAGAAAACATCGGGGTAGTGTTTGCCGTAGGCACTCCAACGCTCAAGTCAGCAAGGTTGGAAGAGATTATTTGATAAGAATTAAGGAGATGAATAATTACCAGGAGTCTTGTTGGAAGGTAGAACTACGGCGGAGGTGTCGGGTTCTTGAAAGCAAGAACTTTAGGAGCAAATAGATGGTTTTGAGTAGTGTAGATTGATTATGGGAGATTGCCCCTTAATGAGAGGGCAAGCCTTTGTTTTTATAATGAACCCAAGGGGTTGGAATCCTAGTAGGACATTGAGTCCTCTTTTTTGGGAGATAATCCGTATTAAGAAAGAAATATGATTTCTTAACCTTATCAGATTAAGTTTAATAGTTTAAATAAGATTTGGAATCTTAGTAGGACACTAAGTCCTATTTTGGGAGATAATCCCTATCATAAAAGAGATATAATTTCTTGACCTTATCAGATTAAGTTTAATAGTTTAAATAAGATTTGGAATCTTAATAGGACACTAAGTCCTATTTTGAGAGATAATCCCTATCATGAAAGAGATATGATTTATTGACCTTATCAGATTAAGTTAAATAGTTTGAGTAAGATTTGAAATCTTAGTAAATGAGGAAATAGAATGAGATTCTAATTTCCTATTTATAGACTGTTGTAGGCTAATGGGCTGAAACCCAGTTTAGCTTAACTTATAAGATAGCCCAACTCATAGAGTGGGTAGTTCGCAAGGTGATTTTAAGCGTAGACCCAATAGTGATTGGGTTGAGGCCTTAGGCCGTGACTTGTTTATTTTGTTATTGGGTCTCGTCAAACCCAAGATGATTTTTGGTCCTAACACCAACTTGTGCAAAAAATGATGATGAACTTTGCTGCCTAAAGATTTAGTAAAGAGATCGGTTGGTTGGTTATTAGTAGTTAGAGGTAGGCAAGATCTGCGCCAATAGGACTGGTCTTATGGGCCTAGAAAATTTATTTTACCATCCTTAATTTTTTATTTATTTGAGGTTAAATTGAAAATTATGTAAGGGTTCCTATGGGCCTAGAAAATTTATTGTACCACCCTTAATTTTTTTTTTTTGGTTGAGGTTAAATTGAAAATTATGTAAGGGGGTTTAGTAATTTTTGAGGGGTGATTTGTAAATTTTTTAATAATTAGTCAATAAATATAAATGAATGGTTATAATGATTTTAATTTAAAGAGATAATTTAATTTTAGCTTTGAAAATTTAATTTGAACTTAAATAATTAAATAAATATAAATGGATGATTAATTGGTTATAAATTTATATGATTTTAATTGAAAGAGATAATTTAATTTTAATATAAATATAATATTCACATTTCACAATGTGCAAATTTAATTTAAACTTAAACAAATAAACAATTAAATAAATTTGTTTTTACTAATTTATTAATTTACATCATTTAAATCCTTGTTTTTGAGGATGTCAAGTAGTTTAGGATCTTTAGAGTGTTGTAGTAGTCTTCTGTCTGCCTGAGTCCAATCCCATAAACATGCTTCTGTTAATCTAGCACCTGCATGAATGTTGCTGACAATACGTATATTCAGATTTCTAGCCATGCTAAATTCCTTGAATGGATTGAAATTTTGGCTTCCGCCATAAGAGGGAAATAATGATTTTTCTGAAAAGCTTTTATACAAACAATGATTTTTCATGCTCACTAAAAACACCTTCAAATAAACATGTTTGCAATTTTCTCAAACCCTTACATGTGAATGGGATACAACACACTCAAAACTCTTCTCTGAAAACTTAAAATACAACTGTAAATGCTCATGCTTTTGAAAACAGTGTTTTCTAAAAATCATGTTGTAACCATCTATGTCATCACTCAAAGAACACTTATGACTCTGAAAAACAATAACTCTGAAAGGTCATGCTGCAAACATCCGAAACATCACAAACAAACATGTATCATTGAAAAGAAATAATGCTCTATGAATGTCATGTACATAACAGAGACTTCATGCAATTGTGATTGATGCAATTAACCCATAGTTTTTCTGATACTAAAAACTTAATCTGATTTTGATCATCTACAAAAAGAAATCATACTGCAAACATCCACATCATCACTCAATGAATGCTTATTTAGTGTTTCTGGAACGACAGTATTAAAACATACAACCAATGTTTATGCGTGCAAATTAATACTCATGCATCTCAAATTTCTCATGTCTTTAAAACAACATTACTAAAATCATATTTCAAATGCCTGAATTAGTCATATAAAACTAGTATTAATAAATGATAACTATCTTGATGATGTGAACTGAAAACTGATTTTTGAAAACAATGAACTGATATTTGATTTCTGAATACTGAAAACTTTATGCTGATAACTGAACTTTAAACTGAATACTGTAGATTTTACTAAAACAGAAAAACTCTGAGTTCAATACTACTTTACCATTAAATACTAAAAACTGCTTTCTGATTCTTAACTGAAAAACAGATCTTGATACTAATCACTGAAAACTCTCCCAACTAGTACCCAAGTATAAATTATCCAACCTAACAAGATCTAGCATCGTGCGTGTTGAACATTAAATCCATCTTGCTAGGCGGAATCAAACTCCGCTCAAGCCTTCGACCCAACATGAATATGCATCGCTCGAGCCGACACAATCAAATCCTGCCAGGTAGAATCATACACCGCTTGGGCCTTTGACTTACTCGAGTTGGCAATTAACCAATCATACGTATGCGCAAAGTCCTCACATAATATGAAGAGAGGAATGGGTACTACGTAGGGTGGTTTGAAAATGACTTTTATCTTTACTTTCTCAATCCTCACTTTTCTCATAAAACTTATGCTTTTCTTCTTTATAAAAGGCATGCTTAAAAATCATAACGCTTGATGCAATGTAAATGGGTAAGCATGTAACTTCATAAAACTTAAGCTTTTCTTTATAAAAGGCACACTTAAAAATCATAATACGTTATACAATGAAAATGGGTAAACATGTAATTTCATAATGTTTCTCAAAAACCAACAATTTCAACACATTTTTCATTTGTCATTTCAACTACTTGTCATCCACATCAGAATTCATCTCCACCCAATGCAAACAACACTTCCTGCATTTAGTAACAAGAAAACTTCTTCTAATGTGAATTCATCAACATTTTTAAGGCAACATTTAACAAATAGTCATTAATTCAAACATAGTCTCACAACATTTCTCAATGCATCTCCTCTCCTTATTCAAACCAATTGCCCAATAAGGAGTAAAACTCATTTAGTATATTTATCGAAAGCACTACACTCTCATTTAATCATGTATTTCCACTCTCCTCAAATTTCTGGCAAAACAATGAGCAATAGCATGTTTTTAATATCAAAAATAATAATCATTTAATAAACATAGTTTTGGAAAGAAAATTAAGTAATTTAATGCGCTTGAAAATTAAAATTGAAAAATCATGCATCTCATGATAATCTCAAGTAGCATATAAGTCAAGAACATATCACATATGTGCTTATAAATCATGCATGTATGACATAATATTCAAAAATCACATCCAGGGGTGAAACTGCAAATTTTCAAACATATTTCAAAACTGAACGTTTAACCCAGATTCGGAATTTCCTCAACATTGCAACTCACTACACGTGACCAACTCCACTTATTAATTCAACATCACAAGTTCACTAATTTATCAACAATTTTCCAGCAGCCAACACACTAATTCTCATAAGGTAACTTTACAACATAAAGTTATAAGTTTATATATATATATATATATATATATATACCCCATGCTAAAAGAACAAAGTTGTGACCAATCCAATGCATCAACCCAACTACCACTTCCCATTACCAAAGTCTATGTTGGCGTGAGTTGTATATTAAAGGAATTATAGTAGTTATAGGAAGTTGGATGGAAAGAAATTATCTCCTTCAAACGGTTAGCGTAATTATAGGGGAAAAATTTGTATAGAAAATATATCCTGATATGTACCTATAAAACAGAATTGTAACAGGAATAAAAATAATTGATTGAGAACTTTTTGACACGCTATCAGAGCCTAACCCTGGTACCCACCTACCCTAAACTTCACATCCCTCACCTTGCCCACCATGT